GTGTTTCCTCGAACCGGATGTAATGCGCGGCCCTGTCGAGGAAATCTTGGAGGGACGTGGGCCGGTGTATGCCTACGGCCTCGTAGAATTTGGAGTCGTGGCGTAGGCCTTGTTCCATTAAGTAGCGTTTCATTTCGTCGGAGGTTGTCACCTGCACGGCTTCCCGAGTAAACCTTTCGATGTATTTCCGGAGAGGTTCGTCGGGGCCTTGGATGATTGCCCCGAGGACTGCTTCCGTCTTCGGGTGACGCCGGGACGCCGTGAAGTGTTTGGAGAATAGGTTCTTCAAGACCCTCCACGACGTAACTGATTCGGGCTCTAGACTTTTGTACCAGGTCATGGCGCCTTTCCTCAGAGTCGTCGGGAAGAGTCTGCATTTGATAGCTCCCCGGACGTTTCGGTAGTCGAGCATAGCCTCGATATCTTCCAGATGGTCGTCTGAGTCGGAGGTGCCGTCGTACGTTGAGAGCGGCGGTGGTTTCTCCATTCCCTGGGGTATGGGGGCTGCCATGATCTCCCGGGATAGCGGGGTGCGGTAGTCATCCTCGTCGCTGTGCGCCGGGGATCTTAGGGGAGATGAGTCGTTCACGGTGTGTCCCGGGTTTCGGGTCCTCGATCTTCGGCCTGAGTTCCCGCCTCGGGGTTCCTCGGTTGGGATCGCCGCGGCGTTCTGGTTCCTCCCGCGACCGTGTCTCGCCGGGGATCTGGTTCGCTCCCTCGTCGCCTGCAGGCGGTGTCTCTCCAGCCGTGGCCGGCGGTTCCTGGGTCGAGGTGAGGGGCTCCTCGAACCTCCGTTCTGGTCTTCCCGCTGGTGGTACCTCGGGGGGCCGACGCGTTCCAATGCCCCAATTCTAGCATTTTGTTGGGACAGCAGCTGGTTCGTCTGGTTGATGGCTGTAAAGAGAGCGGCCACCGTTGGGTCTGCTCCCGCCGGGATGGGAACGGGGTGGAATGCTAGCGGGCTCGGGGGGCGATGGTCGGCCTGTAGGGGCCGTTCCTCGGATGATGGTGAAGCAGTTTGCCCGTCCCTTTCGTCGGCTTCCGTTAGATGCGCCGTTCCTGCCTGTTTCCCGTTGGTGGCGGTGTTGAGCGCAAGGTCGTGCGGAGTGTCATCGCGGTGTGGGCTGGCCATGACCGTGGAGGCTTGGTGAAACTTTTGGTTTTCTGCTCGGAGTAACGGGGAAGTTTCAGATTTCCCACAGACGGCGCCACTGATCTGACCTGATCAGGAGGGATCACGGACTGGCCACACTCCGTTGGGCTGTTATCTGTTCGCCGGGGTGAGAAAGAGGAGGGGGGTGTACCTGCAAAGCACTCCGACGCCCAAGTAAGAAGTTGGACAGAGAGGAAGCAATAGTACAGAAAAAAGGGGCAAGAAGAGTTACTTGACCCTCTTGAAGAAGAGGGTATTTATAGAGAGACCCCAGCGCTGGGCCAACGGTCATTCGAGGTGGGCTGGACGACCAGGCCCAACCCTAATGACTGCTAGGGCTTACGTGGCGTAGTGAAGACCAGGACGTGGTCTTCGCCCTAGTTCAACCGCTCCTAGATCTCCGAAAAGTGGGTTTGACCTGCTCTTTCGGAGGTGGGCAGTTGGCCGGTGACGTGTCCCCGCGGAGGGGAGCACGTGGAGAACGTGCGCCGAGCACGTTATTCTTCCCGCGGAGGGAAGCCCGGGTGGTCCTGCTCGTCCGGCGTGACGGACGACAAAAAGGACGTGGGGATGTAGCTTGTGCCCGGCGGCCAGTCCTGCTCGTTCGAAGGGGCGCGTGCCAGGCGTGCCCAGTTTGCTTGTTGGGCCGCATGTGGTATTGGGCCTGCCGAGGTGAGGCCCATACCGGAACTATATATATATATATATATATATATATATATATATATATATATATATATATATATATATATATATATATATATATATATATATATATATATATATATATATATATATATATATATATATATATATATATATATATATATATATATATATATATATTCATGTAAATCTTTTGGTCTTAATCCAGATTCATCTCCCAATACAATCTATGATGCTTGTGCTTCAGATATGCGCCGATGAGAGCGAATCATATGAACATACTCTAGCGGCTGAAGAGGGTGGTTATGTTGTGCTACAAAGTCAACAATTTTATATTTCTCTATCTTCCGATCAAATGAAATAACCATACACGCTTGACATCCTGTTCTAGTTTCTGCTCTAGTGTGTTCCTCTGTCGTCTGATATCTTTTGTCAACACCACGTACACCTTCTTTGAAGCATGTGAATCTTCTTGAAGTCAAAACTCCATCTTTTTTGCTTTTATTTGCATATTCTCGACGAATACCAAATCCAATTCTTTTCCTGTACTCATTATAAAAATCATCAGCCGCCGCCTCCGATTCAAACTTCATTTCCAAATGTGGTTCACTATTGACAACACTCTCTTGCTTGTGTTGCACATGCTGTTCATGGATGTTACTCACCATATTTTCTACACAGTCGACTATCAAAATTGATGACGAACTCATCTTCTCTAAATTAATAATAATAATATATTATTAGTATTGAAAATTGACTTTTGATTGAATAAACTAATGTAACAATATATATATATATATATATATATATATATATATATATATATATATATATATATATATATATATATATATATATATATATATATATATATATATATATATATATATATATATATATATATATATATATATATATATATATATCATATCAAATGAGAGTGGTTTTAAATGAGAGATGAGAGGAACACACAACAACCATTAGATCATGATTAAACTTATTCATTAATGTGACTATTGATTTCTCTCTCTTGTTAACTTGCATTTCATCTCTCTTATTAATTTGATCTAATAGTTATTATTTGTTTCTCTCATCTCTCATTTAAAATCAATCTCATTTGATATTCTCTCTCACTCACTCTATCTATCTATCTATCTATCTATCTATCTATCTATCTATCTATCTATCTATCTATCTATCTATCTATCTATCTATCTATCTATATATATATATATATATATATATATATATATATATATATATATATATATATATATATATATATATATATATATATATATATATATATATATATATATATATATATATATATATATATATATATATATATATATATATATATATATATATATATATATATATATATATATATATATAACCAATGTAACAGTAGAATTCAAATGAAGAATAAAATTAGTGTAACAATATATATAACTAAACCATTACTTAAAAGTATCTTTCACACATGGTCAGTGGCCAAAGAAAAATGAAAATCATTCATGAAATTATTATTAGAATATTATTTCATCAAATCATATTCAACAAATGAAAAATCACAAACCAGCAATGTATATTATCATAGTAAGTAACAACTAGTAGCCATACTCAAGAAAAAATAAATGCCACTTTCATAACAGGTTAGTGAAACTGAAATAAAAACACATAATGCTCTCCTCTCTAACCAACCATTTCCAGTAAATATTATGGGTCATGCTTCCTTGACACAAAATATAATCTGCCACTTTCATAACAGGTTAGTGAAACTGAAATCAAAACACATAATGCTCTACCTCTCTAACCAACAATATTATAGGTCATGCTTCCTTGACACAAAATATAATCTAACAATACGTATAAAATTAATGTAACAGTAAAGTTCAAATGAATTTTTTTTACTTATTTATAGTCAAGAACAACGAATTCGATTAAGAGCAAAAGTATTAATTTTGAAAACAATAATACTTTAACAAAAATAGTAGCGACGAAATAGAGTAGGATTGTGATGGCGAAATTATACATGACAGCAGTAGTGATACGACGACAAGCGACAAAATACGTGACAACAGCAGTGATACGGTGGTAAGCGACGATTGTCGAACGACACCAAGCAGCAGTGGATGGACGAGAGTGATTGACACTTAACTATTGGAGATAGTGTCAATTGTGAGCAAGAACTATGAAAGAAGAGGGAAAAATGTGTATTCTAGAAGATAAAAGATTATATTTCAGAAGACAAAAAAAGATGTCTAGCAATTTTATCCTTTTTACATGTTTTCTTATTATTAGTTAAATTCTTATTTTTAATTATTAATCTGAACCGTTTTTTACACATGTTACACATCTATACAACCAAAAGAATAAAATGGAGAATAACAAAATGGAGTGGATCTTAATTCAAACTTTTGATCCCAGTTATATCAACTGGCTGTGGTAATAAATGTTCTTAGTTGGATTAGGCATTATTATTACTACTTCTACTTTAACAGCATATATACATTCTCAGCCATCTGAAAAATTTGAATGAAAAATAGAAGATCTGTTTGCTCGATTAATCGATCAAGTGCAACAATTATCAGTTGCTTTGCTATTTTGAAAGATCTGCAGTACCTACTGCAATGGGAATATTGAAGCTCAATATTCAGTTAGATTAGATATTGATGCGAATGTATAACATTCTGGTACATAAATGAAACGGAAAAGGTATACACATTAACCGACGATAGGCAAAAATACATAGCATTGAACTGGACGAATTAAATGCACAAACTCAAAGCCTGAAAAGATGAAACAAAGAGGCAAAAATGTGCAACCTTCCATATATAGCCATGGCTTGAAAAAACACAAGCCATATCTAATCCAAAAAAAAGGTTAAATAATTTCAGAATGTGTATATACATATCAGTCCAACAGGTGTATATATCTGTCTCCGACTTCAAAAAATTTAAGATCTACCCTCTTATCCTTTAGCTTCTAAAAGCTGTACAATACTGAATCCTTCTATTTTTTTCTTCACTAATCTTTGAAAAAATCAAGCCAGACGCACTTAAATAACAATTTGAGGAAGTCAGGCGCAACTGTATAGACACATGATCTAAAAACCTCGAGCTTTCCATGTTGGTATGACTAATTACACAACTGAATCTAAGATTTTTGTCTTCATCTAAATTTTTTTGTAGAAAAGAACATAAGCAGCAGGAGTCTTTATGATCTCCTCGTCAGCAGGGGAAACCCTGCTATCATCAAACTCGTACCATATATCATGGCCATACTGCAAGCAAATAAATACAGTTAGTTGGATAAGCATAGAATGAAACTATGCATGTTTATAATAAAAACAGAAAGCCATTAGCATAGAATAAATTAATCACTGAAACATATTGATGAATCAATTAGTGCAAAAGACAAGATGTATTTTAGATTTTCTTTTAGAAAAATAAATTAGGGTGATTAGGGAAGTCAAACAACACTTACAATAATCAATAGTATAATAAGTGCTAAAAAGTAATTATAAAATTATTTTGGAAATCTGGTGTGCTCCAAGTCTTTTAACATTCTCCGAAACATACTTCTAAAGAAAAGCAGGAATATATCTCATGTGGTCAGTGCTGAAAATCTTGCTTCCCCCAAAGAAATTACTAATGAGTAAATATATGAAATAAGATAATGGAATACTTACTGGCAACACAATAAAGTGACTAAACAAAAAATGAAGAGAGAATAGTTAGTTCCAATGTGTCAATAAAGTAAGAGAGAGATGTGGGGTACTTACACGAACAAACGCTGTATAATGGCCTCCTCCTAACCCGCCATAGTGACAAATAATTGCATACAACATATAGCTATAGGGAGATGGACAGCTCCTGTGAGCGACATAGGTTGACAAATCCAGATCATTAATCGGAAAGTCAACAAAAGTTTCCAGCTTGTTCTTGAAGTATCGGTTGTATGAGAACCTCTTCAAATGAACAACAAGGATTTCAGGCAATCTCCAAAGGTCCAACTTTTTAGTTGCTTGCTGAGGCGCTTTGCAGGTAGGACAGTACCTTACGAACATCAAATTGCAATATCAAACATCAGAAAGACTAATATATCTGACTTTTTTTTTTTACACATATATCTGACTTTTTTAAAACTTAAGAGACAGCACTCTTGAATAACATAAAACAACAACAATTATCAAAGCCTTTCTCCACTAGGTTGTTCACGATAAACATATAGAACATATAATAAATTATATAGAAAATAAAATGTTCTCAAAACATGAAAACATCCAAAGATTAAAAAATAATATATTCAAAAAAGGATATAAGTATATATCACTAACCACATGTCTTCTGGTCCAAGAGGTTCCTCTTTCAAAAAAGCTTCAAGGCACTTGTATATAGATATTGACTCTTGTGTTCTCTTGGAGAAACTTTGGGACTTGAAAACCTCAGGCAATGAATCAAGCAGGTTCGTGTCATACTTTTTAAGCATTTCATCTGACCATACAACAGCTACCTCAAGCTTACTGGACAACATTGTGACAGGTAATGGTTCATTCGATGTAATCTTATAAACCTCATTTCCACTCCCAGATGATAATAAATAGAATTCAAAGTCAGTCCACAAATGTATGTCATCTTCTGCTCCGCTGTTCAAGACTGCATCACTTTCTATTGCTTCAGAGTTATTAGTTTTGCCAAATTCATCAACTTCATTTAGTGTTTTAGCATCATCGTCATCCTTATCATATTCATCTATTGTTTCCTCAGTGTTTTGCATCAGAAATGGATTGATTAAATTCAGAAACTCCTTACGAACATCATATCCGGAAGTAATGCTGGACAGGCTAGCTACAATTGGAATACCGAACAATCTATTTTCAAGCCTCTCCCTCCCATAACTGTAATACATGATACAGTAGTGCACCAGTAAAGAACAAAAAAACCAGCAGCAAATACAGAAACTGTTAAGAGTCCCACATCGGACAATATATGGCATGAACATGTGTTTATAAGTGGGGGCAATCCTCACTCTACAAACCTGTTTTGTTTTGTAGGGTTGGTCTACATATGAAGTTCAAAAATGGAAATCAACTATATCTGTGTTTTATTTTAGACATTCTAGCCCGACTTGAGTAAACCATACGAGTAGTTAGTTAATTGATTAGTTAGAACGTATCATGTATAAATAGGAGAATACAAGGATAAGGAGCATTCAGATTTGTCAACATTTGGTGAATAGAATTGTGGTTCTATTCTCCTATTCATTCATATTATTTTAATAAAAGTATTTTTTCTATTCATTAGGATTTCTGGGCTCCTAACACATTCTTAGACTACAACATAGATTAATCGCAAAAATTTGTGATGTTCCACATGAATAAGTGGAACCTAGAGTTTCTTTAGGTCTTGTTGGGAGTTAGAATGGGTAGGGAGGACTTGGGGGTAAGGGAGAGGAGGAGAATCTCTTACCTTGTTCGGCAGAGCGTTTTCAGATGGGAGAATCTCTTTCTTTGTTTCGAGAGTGTTGTTATAAAAAATTAAAGGATGCTGGAATATTTAAGTCTTCTCCCAATTCATTTTTTGAGTTCCCCCCCACCCCCCACCCCCATTGCCAAATAAGCCCTTAGGTTTAATTATTGGTGTAGGTAAAACTGTAAAATCACTAGATACTCTAGGAGTATGTGCTCCAAAAAGTAGAGATTGTGTCAAATGTGGCAAAAAGCATGATGTCTACAGTGAGTGTGTCCTTCAGGTAAAGGGGTATGCAATAATTATTAGGGACAAACATATAGAGGAAGGTATTGTAGGAACAAACCGAAACTACTCCAGTCTGTAGACGTGGAATTAATGAATAGGAATACCTTACCTTTCCACCAAACGTTCATGCGTGAAAACAATCAAGAGGCTATCTTCATTATACTTCTGCACTCGGTAAGCAACAAGTTTGTCTTGATCTCTAATATCAGTCAATGAATCACGTGGATCCTCCAATAACCGAAAAATTCTATTCTTGTATATCTGTATATAACTCCATAAAATCAGACTTACAATTTAAACAAGCACGTGAAAAGTGTTTGCATTAGACTGATAAATTGATGTTAATTGTTAGCACATTACACTTAATGATTCAATTAATCAGGGATAACATGCAATAATTCTACAGAATGCATAACTGCTGTAAAATACCTCAGCCACCAAGAGGGTTTCATCCTCTCTCATAGAACAAGAAGCAGTTAAGGCCCCAATTAGATCCTTAAGTGTTCCACGTTCATGCACTGTTACAGTAATTGCAGAAGGCACTGTGATCCCATCAGTGCTCATGACAGTCACAGTCATGGTTCTTATTGTTGTAGAAGGTAATGGAAGAGATAGGTACATAAAAGGGTCAAAGGTGATAGAAACCTTCTTGCAAGAAGGGCAAATCAATGTTGATCGGAACTGACCCTGCACAACGGAAGGAAATAAAAATTACTTTCGAAAGTGAGAACGGTTGAACTGGAAAAAAAATATAGAATTGTTTTTTGCTTCCTAATTACAATATTGTCTTATCCTTTTACGAAACACTAAAAACGTGTTTTAAATCTCACATGCAATGTGGCAGTCCACCGTTCAATAAAAAGTGAGCACAGTGGCAGCTAGTAGACAGGTCTACAGAACAATAACCACTTAGTATAATTCCTTCTTTCTTTAGTAGTAATCTGACATGACAGAGAAAAAATCTTTTTCCGGGATATCTATATAATTATTTCTATCAACATCTTCTATGCATCGTAATACAGAAAACTTGGAAAGCACTTAACCCTAAATGATGTGTTAAAAACCCAAGAGTACAAAATTCTTGGATAATAATAAGAAAAAACCTTATAAGTCTTACTTGGCACAAATCAACTACTATTGAATGATTGCGAGCAAGATGATTTCGCCAATACTCTTCAGCTACTTCTTCGTCTGGACGTCCATCTGCATCCTTAACTTCATGATATGGCTTGCGTTTTACACGATTAAGATCTTCATGCAGTCCATCCAACAAAAAAGCAAGCAGTTCCTGCAAGCCAAAAACTTCAAGATTTTATAAGATTATTTCATCTCAAGTGACAAGAACGAAGATTCATCAACGAAAATAGATGAAAAAGGAAATAGCAATAGTTATATGTTTCGAAAAATTAAAAGAAGTGGGGAAATTGAAATATTAACTTGAGAATCATGCTGCATATAACCACTAAACTGAGGAGCAAAGTTAGCTAGTTTCATCTTGAACAATCTTGGTGCCACAGGGGATGCTCCAGGAACCCATAGCATTCTAAGTAAATCTCCAAAAGCTAAAGCTAGTTCTCCCTAAAAAAATTGAGCGTGGGAGAAAAAATTAATACAAAGTAAAATTCATTCATAGAAATGACAATAGCATGAAAAGAAAAAAAACCACATACATTCATTCCCAATGGATTTTCATAATTTATCTCTTTACGATAATCTCCAAGGAAAAAATCAACAAGCTTTGGGGTGTGAGCCAAACACTGAATGGCACTATTCATAAAACAGGTATTTCCAAGATTATGTAATCCTGTCAAGCCCAAAGATTGAACTGTTCTATAGCTACTTCCAGGAAAATAGTTGTTTGCTGTTACGTAGGGGATAACATTGTCGGTGCTTCCATTCATCATAACAGGGCCACTGTCAGAAGAACATTTCATCTGAGACCTATCTGAAATCATCCCATTGCTATCACTACCGCTTATTGAGTCAGAAAGCCCGTGAACTTGTAGCTCCAAAAGAACCTGCATGAACATGGAGAAGAAGGGGCCAAGAAGTTATTAAAAGAGCAAATTACTGACTTCAATCATTCAATCTTCAGAACTAAAATTTAAAATTATAAGGTTTATGGAGCACCATAAACTTTAAATATCTTTAACAGTTAAATATAGAGAAAACACAGAAGAAAAAACAGGGACTACCTCTTTTCCAGGTTGACCACGAGAATCATTTGACGCCCTAGCTTTGTCATTTATTAAAAGCTGGGTTGTCTGCCCAGAGAAGTCCCAAATATACAACTGCATCGTCCATAACAATAAAATAAGACATAACCAAAGGAACATACAAACTTATAGACATTTAATAAATTAGTTGTTAGTTAACTCACCGAGCTATATGCAGAATTGAAAATGTCACAAGCTTTCTTGTAGAAGTCCGGCACATTTTCCTGTAATCATGCCACTTAGTATCAAGAAAATTTCTTAACAGTGGACAAACACTTTCCGAAAAAGAAAACAAACAGATCACTAACTGGACCTTTTGGCTTATCTTTGCTACCAGTGAACTGGTTTCCCATGAAACAAATATCCTAAGTTGGAGGGGGAACAAATCTGACAAAGAATCCTCTGCATAGAAGAGTCTCCCAAAATCTTTCACTGCATTATTAAAATCATTATACCTACATGAGTAAGATGAATCAACATTTGCCCTTGTTTTATTTGCAATCGCTAAACCTAATTTTCAAGCATATTTAAAATCAGTAAAGATCTAAAACTTAGATTGGAAAATCAAATCGAAAAAACTAGAAAATAAATGTAATGTATGTCGGTGATATGAAATATCATAAATAGCTATGATCATTTGAGTTTTTGTAAGAAAAATAGAACACTCATTAGTAACAAAAATGTGGTAAACTGAAACAAAATAGTAACTACTTTAATAATGTCAAAAAAGAAAGAGGAAGAGTAGCCAGTAGCAAATTTGTAAAACATATTAGGAGGCACTATAATAATTATTTATAAATTTATTAATTAATTATTAAAAAAATAAAAAATCTGGAACAAATGAATCACTTATACTAAACCAATGGGTACTGATACCCATTTAATTCATTGGGTACTTGAGAGATACTACCTATCTATAATATATTTATGGAATCATATTATGTAAGTTAAACAGACAACAATGAGAGGGACGGGGCTAAAGAAACTGTGCAGTGTGCATGAAACACCATGGCTGACTAAATCTGATGGTGGATGCATTTAGTATTAAACTGGCACTAAAGAAGGACATACACACCAAGTGGGATACTCTTAAGTCCTAACAAACAGGAAATCCTACTATTCTGTGACTAGTTCACTACACTCAATTTTTCCCCGTAAATGTAACTGTTTCTGTTAACATTATATGGTCATAACCAACACAATAGGAATATTTATTAGCACCACCCACCAATCATTAGAGTCTACTGAGTTCTCCATCATTCATGTTTATGGACTGGGTATTTGCAAATCAGCTCACAAAGCAAGAACAGATGAAGATTGTGCACTATCTGGTTAGTGTTTTAACTCCAAAAGTATCATTGTGGCTTCTGTTAGTAGTTTTGGACACGCTGGTGTTGTTTGGAGGATCACTAGTGAAAACTTAATGGCTAAGGCACAGTCTAAGGACACATTTGGATGTTGTTGACGGAAGACTGCTTCCCAGAGCCACAACTGCAATCAGAGCAAGGGATTGACAGCTCAACAGTTGGAAGCCAGCCTGGTATAGTTTGGCCTGGAAAGGTCAAGGCTAAAAATATAGACCTTCTTTGTTTGTGCATGGTACAAAATGGTGTTAAATACGGACATGCTAACCAAGTAGACTACTGCTAACAAACAAGGCATGATGTTTCCCATCTCCTATATTGTAAAATATTTCACTGATAGAATTAAAAGTTCTCTTTACAATGTTGCAACTACATGCTTTAAATAAGAGAGAATAGAAAACCTAATGGGTTTGACTAATGGGCCTCATTACTAATACTACTAATTACTATTTACAGTCTAATATTTACAACACTCCCCCTCAAGCTGGTGAATGGATATCTATCATTCCCAGCTTGCAAGTAAGTTGTTTGAATCTTTCTGTTGGTAAGTCTTTTGTTAACACATCTGCGAGCTGATGCCCAGAAGGAACGTAAGATGTAGTTATCAGCCCACTATCCAACTTCTCTTTGATAAAATGTCGGTCAATCTCAATGTGTTTAGTCCTGTCATGCTGAACAGGATTATGAGCAATACTAATAGCCGATTTATTGTCACAAAACAATTTCATAGGGCCTTCACACTGTATCTTCAAGTCTTCTAGAACTTGTTTCATCCACAATAGTTCACAAATTCCTAGTGCCATAGCTCTAAATTCTGCCTCGGCGCTTGATCGAGCAACTACACTTTGCTTCTTACTCTTCCAAGCTACAAGGTTACCACACAGAAAAGTACAATAGCCTGACGTAGATCTTCTATCACTCACTGAGCCGGCATAATCCGCATCAGTGTAAGTCTTCATAGCTAAATTCTCACCTCTTTTAAACAAAAGTCCTCTCCCTGGAGTTGCTTTAAGATATTGTAGGACGCGGTCTACAGCCTGCAAATGTCTCACCCTCGGATCATGCATGAATTGGCTCACCACACTGACTGCATATGCTAAATCTGGTCTAGTGTGTGCCAAGTAAATCAATTTTCCCACTAATCTCTGATATTGACCCTTGTCAACTTTGTCACTTTCCTCCTCAAAGCTTATCCTGTGATTTTGTTCAATGGGAACACTTGCAGGTTTGCATCCAAGTTTGCCAGTTTCCTGCAAAAGATCAAGAACATACTTCCTTTGAGAGATAAAGATGCCTTGCTTTGAGTAGGCTACCTCAATTCCCAAGAAATACTTGAGTTGTCCAAGGTCTTTCATCTCAAACTCTGCCGATAATTTCTCTTTGAGCAAATGTCTCTCAGTCAAATCATCTCCTGTAACAATAATATCATCAACATAAACAAGAAGTACAGTCAATTTTCCTTCCTGTGAATGTTTAAAAAATAAAGTGTGGTCTCCTTGACTTTGCTTATAGCCCAAACACACCATTGCCTTTGTGAATCTTCCAAACCATGCCCGAGGGGACTGCTTTAGTCCATATAAGGCTTTCTTCAATTTACACACCTTGTTAGCTTCATTTTTTATGCCAACACCCGGTGGAATCTCCATATACACTTCTTCCTCTAAGTCTCCATGCAAGAATGCATTTTTAACATCAAACTGTTGCAATTCCCATCCACATGAAGCAGCAAGAGATAGTAAAATTCGAACAGTGTTCATTTTTGCCACTGGGGCAAATGTCTCCTCATAATCAATACCATATGTCTGAGTATAACCTTTTGCCACTAGTCTTGCCTTGTACCGATCAAGTGTGCCATCAGATTTATACTTTACGGTATAGATCCATCTGCATCCAACCGGCTTTTTGTCTCTTTGCCTTTCAATAATCTCCCAAGTACCATTTTTTTCAAGTGCTCTCATTTCCTCATCCATAGCTTGGACCCAATTTCTATTTTGCAATGCTTCTTCAACTGATAATGGGATTTTCACAGAATCAACAGCTGCAATAAAACTTTGATATTGTGTGGAAAGATGTTTAGTGGAGACATATTGAGAGATAGGGTGTCGATATAAGGAGGGACAAGATCTTTTATCCTTCCTCAAAGCAATGGGTAAATCAACTGGATTAGTGTCACAAGTATCAGAAATAGAACAATCATCATTTGAGGAATCATTTTCAGTACTTACCTCCGGTTCAGACGATTGAATTTGTTTCTGGAGAAGGTCAGATTTACTTCTTCTCTGATATACTAGAGTTGGTGCTGAAGGTGCTGATTCCTGTGGAACATAAGGCATTGAAGGACCAGGAACAATTACTGACTCAGATTCAGGTGTTGAACTAGGACTCAAACTCAAACTAGGTGACAACTTAGGTTCAAGAGAGGGAACACTGACAGGTGTTCTCGGGAGGCTAGGACCAAGGATCAGAAACTCGGACTCAGACTCTAAGTCACTCATGTTCTCCCCCTGAGACTGAGAATGAGTGAAGTAGGACACATTTTCATGAAAGGTGACATCTTTGGAGACAAAGAATTTCCGACTCGGAGGATGATAACATTTGTACCCTCTTTTATTGGGTGCATAACCCAGAAAGATACATCTGACAGCACGGGGATCCAACTTGTTGCGATATTGTTTGTGAACATGAACAAAAGCAACACAACCAAACACGCGAGACTCAAGATTATGTAAGATAGGAACAGAGGGAAAACGTGAGAGCATAAATTGAGCAGGACTAATATTACCTAACACTCGAGATGGGACCCGATTAATCAGATAGGCAGCAGTAAGAACTGCCTCCCCCCAATAAGAGGTGGGAACAGACATTTGAAACAGGAGAGATCGAGCAACTTCAAGTAAATGACGGTTTTTTCTTTCTGCGACACCGTTTTGTTGTGGGGTGTCAACACATGTGAATTCATGAAGAATGCCATGTTTACTAGTGAAGTTGGAGAAGGTATGATTGACATATTCTTTACCATTGTCAGAACGAACTCTTTTTATACATTTCCCAAATTGTGTTTGTACCATATTATAAAATTGGATAAATATTTGTGGTACTTCGGATTTAGTATTCATCAAGAAAATCCAAGTTACCCGAGTACAATCATCAATAAATGAAACAAACCATTTTGCACCAAAAATATTAGAGGTAGGGGCAGGTCCCCAAACATCAGAATGAATCACATCAAAAGGTTCAGCACTTTTATTAAAACTGGAAGGAAAAGTTACACGATTGTGTTTTGCCAACTGACAAACATCACACTTAAAAGACTCAACAGAATGGTTTAAAAACAATGACGGAAACATAGACTTAATGATATAAAATGGAGGGTGACCGAGACGCTTGTGCTGAAGCCAAATGTGTGAGGCTGAAGAGGAAGACTGAGACTGGAGACAGGAGGACAACACCTTTGGATGGTCATCAGAGAAGTAGTATAACCCTTCCTTTTCCTTAGAAATTCCAATCGTCTTCCCCGTGGTAAGGTCCTGAAAAATACAATGGGTCATAAAAAACGTTACTTTACAATTTAGATCACGGGTAAGCTTATGGATGGAAATCAAATTGTGAGAAAGTGTGGGAACATGAAGCACGGATTGCAATTGAAATGGAGGTTGCAAGTCAATATTTCCAGTGCCAACAACACAAGCCTGAGAGCCATCAGCAACAGTGATATAAGGAATACTCGAAGGTGTGGTATAAGAGCATAATAATGTGGAATCAAATGTCATATGATTAGTAGCACCAGAGTCAAGAATCCACGCATTCTTAGGGATATTACCACAAACAGTAAAAGATCGGGAACACAAACTCTTACCGGTAACTGCTAGAGACCCAGAACCAGAAGGCTTACTCATGGAGTCAAGCATAGACTTCAACCGTTCCACGTCATTCTGGCTGAAGGAGGAAAGATCAGTTCCCTCTTTTTCAGATCTGTCAGTATCATGGGCATGTGTGACAACATGTGCCTGATGCTGGTGCATGTTGCGAGAACTACCTCCTCGGCTAAGAACCTGTTCCCTTCCATGTAGTTTGAAACACCTATCCTTTGTATGCCCTGATCGGTTGCAATGCTCACAATAGAATTTGTCACGACCATTCTTAGATGATGACGATGGTGGTCCTTGTCTTGTTGTTTTTCTAGCTACTAGTGCTGACACATCCGGGGGCTGTTCATGAAGCATAGTTTGACGACGGGTCTCCTCACTACGAACAGTGTAAAAAACTTCATTAAGATCAGGAAATTTTTCCTTACCCAAAATCTGCACCCGAATGGGGTCAAATTCAGCATTAAGGCCGGCTAAGAAATCAAAGATCCTATCCCGCTCAACAACAGTATTCAAGGTGGCAGTATCCTTGCTGCACTCCATCTTCAAATTCTGATATTGATCCAACTCAATCCAAAAACCATTGAGAACTCCAAAGTAATCGTTGACCGAAAGACTTCCCTGCTTAGTGTTGAATATTTTCCTCTTTAAATCATAACAAGCAGACATATCTTGTTTCATGGAATAACTTCGACGAAGATAATCCCAAACTGCCTTTGCACTTGAGAGATACATGCAATTTCTACTAATTTCTGGAGATATGGAGTTCCAAAGCCAAGTAATAATAGCAGAATCATCTTTATCCCAGGAAGAGAAATTAGGAGCAGTAACCAGAGGAGGATTGCCTTCAATATGATCTAGCATGTCACAACATTTTAGAGTGTGTCTGATGAACTGAGACCATTGAAAATAATTTTTTCCGGTAAGCCAGTAACCTTTTTGAACGACAAAATCCTTAGCATTAAATGGGACTGGTGGATTTGTGGGAGGTGGAGGCGGAGGTGGTTGTTGGTTAATAATCTCGGCCATTGAAGGGACAATTGAGAGGAACAAACAGCAGATATGTATTGAATCACAAGGAAAAAATACAAGGAAACCAAAAAACAAGCAGTAGGGTTGCAATAGAACTGCAATAGAATGAAAAACAGCAATGATCCAAACACCCAAAAAAAAAAAAAAACTGCAAGGATGACCGGCAGTGAAAAAAAAGAAAAAAAAACACCGATACAACGGCGGCTAGGGTTTATGCGGAAGCGAGACCCCTAAAAAACAGGAGCTGAGATACCATATTGTAAAATATTTCACTGATAGAATTAAAAGTTCTCTTTACAATGTTGCAACTACATGCTTTAAATAAGAGAGAATAGAAAACCTAATGGGTTTGACTAATGGGTCTCATTACTAATACTACTAATTACTATTTACAGTCTAATATTTACAACATCCTAAAACAACATTTTTCTTATTGAGGAATTAGAATGATTATCCCAAGTTTACTTCCATGCCTTATCATCTTTCTATGCACAAACCATGTAAGAGTAGAACCACTTATATGAAATTGTAAACAAATAACTATATCATAACTAAGTTATAGAAATTATCTGGTTGAATAAAGCGCCCTACTCACACCAGGCACATCACTTAAATGCAGCCCAGATACACACCCATAAAGATGCTGGTACCTCACCATGCAGTGCAATTCCTTAATATTAGATCCATAAACAAACATTTAGAACACTAAATCAGCTAGGGCATGATTTCAATTGCTCCCAAGGAAAAAAAAATCACAAACAAAAAACAGCACATTTGTAACGAGAAAAGATCAACAAAAAAAATTACATCATTATGCATCATAATAAACTCTTAAGAAGACCTCAATTTTTTGCTTTATAATTTCAATATAATAGTACCTACAACTTACAAACTAAAACCTATTGAAAAGAAAGAGTGGGAGAAAATCAACACTCACCGTTTGAGAGCACGCAACCAAACTCCTTCAGGAACCAAAGCATAATGACGGCCCGAAAACCCCACCTCCAAATTCTTAATCTTCTCACGGTCCTCTTCCTTCTTCAGATGGAGCGAAATTTCTGACTCAGAATCATAACTCGAATACACTGTATACAGAACACCTATACGATCAGCTTCAACTTCTGCATCAATCCACCACCTTTACTCCAAACCAAACAAACAAACAAACAAACAAAAAAGGTTCAATCAAATTCTAATGCAAGTGAAAACCGTGGATTCCAATTAATAAAACCGCACAGCAAAAAAAATCCCAAAAATCGGAAGAAAATAATAAAACCGTAAAGCAGAGAATGAATATTAATCAGGTGCGGAGATAAGTACCTGTAGGGAAGCAAGTAAACCCTCTCGTCGGCGAAATCACGGTCATCTTCTTGAAGTAAACGACGATTAGGGCGGAGAGAGTAAGCAGAGGAATCAAGTTCATCAGAGAGGTAATCGACGTTATTGGAGAAGAGATTTTCCATGGAGAAGAAGGGTAGGGTTTGGGAGAGTAGGAAACGAGCAAGGGACTTGCAGAGACGGAGAGTAGAGAGAGAAAGAAGAGAGAGAAAACGGGTCGGTTTGAGAAACAAGGAAGACAAACGGAGCTTCTCCGTCAATCGGGTCATATCGCTTTCGTGCTGGGTCAAAACACACTCCGTTTTAAAGCACACGCCTCTTAATTATTATTTTTTGTTATAATTTAATTCAATAAAAAAACCCTAGAAGCGTTCTAACCCAAAAAAAAACCCTAGAAGCGCAAGTTTAAAAATTCACTTTTAAATTTGTATTGAAAAATCAATTTTATATTTTTATTAAAATTAATGTAGAATTAGATTATATTTTTTTATTTCTTAACTTCCACAAGTTAGCATTAGTTGAGGAACAATAAATAAAAGAATATTAATAAAAACAAATATTTAACACTAAGTTAATAAAAAAATTTAAATTGTAAATAATTGTAAATAAAAACAATTTTTTAAGACTATTTTATGACTCTCAACGAATCTACTTAAAATACATCACCTATGTCATTCTTTAATAGATATAATCGAGAAAAAAATATTAAAATTATGACACACTATAAGATGAACCATATCTAAAATAATTTTATAGCAACATCCAATAAATCAGATCTATTATACTAAATCACACATATATTTTAATATTATAACATTATATTTTATTTAGTAAAAATAATTAATTGTTCATAAATTAGTTAGTAATTTATAATTGATAACTGATAATAGATAGTTTATAACAAATAATAGATATCGCTGTTTTAGACAATTTAAAGTTTTGTTTTAATTTTAAAAATGGACCATAATAAAAAAGAATATAGAAATAAAAAAAAAACATAAATTATTGTTTTGATCTCTAATTTTATCTTATGTACGAAATTAATCTTCTATTTTAAATTCAAATAGTTTGGTTGTTCTATTTTAATTCAAACATTTGTAATCTTCTCTCACGTTTTTTTATAAAAATTAATGTGATTTTCGTTTTTTAAGTTATATTTTTATTTATAAAGTTTAACAATATGTTTATATATATATATATATATATATATATATATATATATATATATATATATATATATATATATATATATATATATATATATATATATATATATATATATATATATATATATATATATATATATGATGATTTGAAATTTTAAATAACATTAAAAACTAAAAAGATATATGTATAAATATTTCAAATAAAATTTAATTTATTCAAATATGATGTTTGTATCTTTTCTCGGTATAAAGTTTCTGTGTGTAATTAATATGCTTTGATAAGTGAAAGTAGTTTAAAGAACTATCGATACAATATTAATAATAAGATATTTTAATTAATAAATATTTAAAAAAATTAAATTGCAAAACAATTATATGTCAATTTATATTAATTGAGAAATATAAACGTTCAAAAATTTATATTTTAAAAATATATTTAAAATTATGAGACCTTAAAATTTTAATATATTATAAAAGTTCCAATGTTTTATTAGAATTGATATAGTAAAATGAAAGAAATTGAACTAATTAAGAACTTTATAAATAATACACTATGCTATACTATAAACCTATTAATTTAATTTACTAATTTGTTATTTGTTTAATTTATTGATTGAATAAAAAATAATATAAAATTTATTAATTTTTTAATATATTATTTTAAAATAAATTTAATAATGTATCATTTTATAAATAAAAACAAACGTAAAATAATATATTATATTTCATAATGATGATTTGATAGTAAATTCAAAATTTCTTTTGAAAAAATTGAAAATATAATTATGAATTGATAGGTAGATAATTTTCAATTAACTATATATACCGGCAATTATTTAGATAGGTAAATATTGGAGGAATGATAGGTATGAAAGCGGAGTGGGTTGGAGATGGTTTTTATCTTCTTCAAATCTAAATTTGAATATTCAAATAATATTCGTTCTCCGCCTCAATTTCTAACAAGAATGGGGAATTAAAATTCAAACCCCTTACAAATAGGTTTGACTTGGGTTTTGGTATTTGCACTTTGTGTCATCTATTAAGTGAAATCAATTTTTTTAATAGAAATGTCTATTTTTTTCAAAATAAAATAAAATTATAAATAATAAAATAATTTTAAAAAATTTCATACATACATGTTAAATATTTTAAATAATAAATATAAATCAAAATATCAAAAGATTGACAACATATTTAATATTTTAAATTATCAAAATAAAATAATAAATGATATACAGAAATAAACATGGCGAGTTTGAAATGGGTACTCATTACCCAACTCATCCTCATATTTTATAATTGTAAAAAACCTAAATTCAACTAAAGCGGATTTTCGTCATCAAAATTGAAGCGAGTTCAGATGAATATCTACTGATACTGATACAGATTGTGTTATCATGCCTAATACAGATATTGGCAATTACAATCAAGGGCTAAAATATTTATTATAACATATTAAAACTTTTTTTGTAAAATAAATACATCAATGTTGACAATGGTAATCAATCCAGAATTCAAATCCTTATTATAACACATTGGCACTTTTTGTAAAATAATAAATTGAAATCAAAATATATGTTTTAAGGTTCAAACCGTCCACCTCAATTTTAAAATGTTAATATAAATATGTAATATTCAACAACTAATATAAATTGTTGTTTAACGTTTATGATTATAAAAAAAATTAGGCCTCTAGATTTTAGAGGTCATGTGCAACCTTGGCTTTGATGACAGGTGTCACAACTGCGAAAAACAACCGACGGAAAACCAGAGTCGCCACCAAACGTTATTTATTCAGAGGAAGGAAAGGAAACAATTGAAAAAACCTCAAAAAGGGAAAGGAACATGGTCTCGCAACTAAATATTAGGTTCAAGAGTCGATTACGCGGGAGGAAGGTGTCGCAACTACGAAAAACACCCGGCAGAAACCAGAAGAGTCGCCATTTTTTGTTATTTATCCCAAAGAGATGGAAAGGAAACGATCGAAAAAACCTGACGAAAAAGGGAAAGACAAGGTCATCGCAACCAAGTCTGGATTCGGGAGTCGGTTACGTCAGGGGAAGGTATTATCACCCCTCACGTCCGTCGTACTCGACGGGATCCACGCTTGTTGTCTATCTAAGGGTGTGTTTAAACTATATACGCTACGAGTTAAGGGACGAAAGAAAAAGAAAAGAGACTCGGCAGAGCATCACTTCTCTGTGACTACGTATTCCCTCGTGCAATGGGAAAGTCAAAGTCAACGTAGTTCGGCTAACTACGGGTGAAGGGGGGAAGGTTGCTCGCCAAGACATCGCGTCTTGTGCCTACTTACTTTCATCTGGTATGAAAGATCAGAACAAACGTAGTTCGGACTAACACGAAACCACAGGTTAATTAAGTGTTTTAATCGAGTAAAGTTAAACCTCTGTTCCAGCAGTTAGGGACGAAGCCTGTTTGTGGTAGAACCGAAGCTTAACAATACTCTTTTCTGAAAAAAAGTTTTTGATTAATCCCGAAGGAAAAAGGTTTGAAATTTGTTTTTGTGTTTTATTAGTGAAGTGAATTAATTCGATTTGTGATTCACGTTGCACTAAAGACTATGACGTGGAGGTGAATGCGTCGTGTATCGCCCCCAAACGGGACGTACACTAAACACTCTAGATAAGCGAGAGGAGACCCCTCACTCATCATTCCCCATGTATCTTAAGGCTCGTAGTGCATAACGTTTATCGCATTTATTAGATGAGTTAGCATGGTTTTGAGATGAGAAGAGAAACGCACGGAAGGTCTAAGGGAAGCTCGACCCTAACGTTGTCATGCAAAGTGGTCCTAAAGTTTGGATGAAAAGGGAAAACATCTACCCTAATGTTAGCATGCTTGAATTGAACACCTAATGTCTCTCCTACTCACGTCCTAAACTGAGGGACTAGGAATCCTATGGGGATCATGGCAAAAAGCACAAGAAGAACAAAGGAAGGATCAATCACAAGTAGAAAATGCGAACATGAAAATGCACACTTAGAATGGTGGGAGGGAGAAAAAAAATGTGTGGGGCAGCATCCGCCACAAGCGCGTCTCGGCCTCAACAGCGATGCAAAATGATGCAAACATGGGGAGAAAAACAAGAGATGGAAGCAAATAAATATGCAAACAAATGCTCACTTCGAACCACATACACAAGCATGCAACCAAGTGGAAAATGAACACACATGTCAACAAAATCATGATTAACCAACCACAAACAGTGACAAATATCCAAAATATTTCAATCCTAATGCATCACACTGATCTATGATGATTCGAATCAAAACGGTATGCGAACAAGCAAGCAAAACAGCAAATATGACATTCTGGCACAGTGTTAATCGGTTAACACCTTAAAAAGTTTGGAAAATATGGAATTTTGAACAGGTTAATCGGTTAACCATATGCGTTACTGATTAACACTGTTAACGTTTAAAAAAATTTGAAAGTTTGAAATGGTTAACCGGTTAACCGATTAACACTGTACCAGAAGCCAAAAACAACAGCAGAAAATCACTTCTAGCACCAAAACAGCTTATCCAAGGTTCCAAAAGATCAACTTATAAATTAAGCACAAAATTAACAACAGAAAACAGAGATCCAACAGCGTGGATACACAATTACACAACAATATCACAATTTGAACGAATTGAAATCAACCAAAATTCAATCGAATATGAAGATTAACATGATAAGCTCAAAAAATTAAATCGGATCGGGAATTCCAACCTTTGAAGCAGAGATTTGCTTCGGTAAATGTTGATCAACTGAATTTGAGCAGATCCGAACAAGATTATCCGAAAAACTTCAAGATCCGCAATAATTCTCGCAAGAGGAATGAAGATCAAACACTTTTAAGCTAAATTACTCAAATAAGCACTTCCAACTCAAGCTCCAAAATCAGATCTCAATTTGCACGAAAATTGATTATGAAAATTGATCCAATGATGATG